TGCCATGCTCACGATTTATGGGGCACGTGTGGATTCCCACTGTGACAGTCGATGTCCAAGAAAGCCAAGCGTCCTGGGCACGTATCAGAAGTCAAGCACCTTGTATACATGGTCCCTGGGCCTCACGATACCCCTGAAAGCTTTTCTCAGATGTGGACACTCGAGACTTCAGTGACATGCCAGGGCGGCACAGCCAGGAGGTAGCAGATGGCCGATTTGAGACCAGGGCTGTGACAGCCAAGCTGCTGCTCGCGCCCCGACCGGCCACCGTCTCTTGGCACGACAGACAGTTTCATCTCTCTTCCTTAGTTGAGAAGTTTCTCGTTCCTCGTCGTCTTTCGGCAGACACTGAGCAGGGGAGAGGACGTGTCCAAAGTGAGCCCCTTGGGGACTGGTTACTACCGTGGGTGTGCACGCCGGAGGAACCCTTCATGTCTCGGGATCTGTCATGGCACAGAACTGGCCTGCCTGCCATTGGAGAAGCCTTCACAAAACGCCTCGCCACAAACTCAATGGATAGATAATGGAAGTGAAGTACAAGGGAAAGGGAGTGAGGGCCTTGCGGGAAAAGAGGATTATTTTTTTTTCAGCTCGGCAGCCCAGGAGCTGGTTGTTTGCTGCGTGACCTGGATCCAAGGCCCTTCCCCTCTCCTCCCTCAGGTGGTGACAGGGGCAGCGCCTCTGGTCACCTGGTACAGAGGACGTGACCCCGTCCGCCCTCGTGAGGAAGCCCAGCCCGGCTCCCAGCCCTCGGATGGGAACAAGGAGGAAGAAATAATAAAGAAAATGCCAAGAAAATCAGCCGTGTCAGCCAGGAAGCCTGGGGCCTTCGCTCAAAGGCCACAACAGAAGAGTGCCACGTATTTGGAAAGACCCGGAAGGCCCAGAAAGGCAGGACAGCGAGGCGGCCGTGAAGCTGCTGAGAAATGCCTTCCTCACGTAGGGAGATTTCTCAGCGCCTCCTCCAACGGCATCTTGGGCGTGGAAGGAAAAACACACAGTGACAGCAACATAGCTCAGTGACAAGGTTCCGGAGCGAGGAGCCTGTCACCGGGGAGGACCTCTCTCCCCACTCACCGGGCACCCCCGGGGAACATGTCAGCCTCCAGATAACACACTGACACAGGACAGGGGGCTTCCCAGCAGTGAATGGGGGACAATTACAAAGAGGGAATGGGCAGGAGTCACCCGGAACCAGAGGCACCTGGACGGGGGCTGCAGGGGGTGTCTGGACCTGAGTCCCAGGCACAGAGAAAAACACTTCGTCACCTCCTTGTCTGATCTGTTGTCCTAAATCTTTCCTTTCTCAGCGTTGCCAGGACTGCAGCTTGCACCTCCGGAGCTGCCTTTCCCCCTTCCTCCCCTGCACAGGCCCGGCCCATCCCTGCTCCCTTCCGCTGCTCACCGACCCTGGGAACCCAGGGCATCCGCCGTCCCCAGTGTGGCTCCCGTGTAAATCTCTTGGCTTCAGCTGCCATTTGTGCGTTTCAAAGTCCTTAATTCCTCACCCCGGCCCAGACGCATCTCTTGAACCAGCTCTCCATCCCCAGCAGCCACAGCCGCCCCCTCGCGGGGGGGGGGGGGGGGCTGCAGGCATCCCCGAGGTGCACAGCCACATAGAACTGGTTGCCTCTCCTCCCAAATGCCTCTTTATCTCCCCTCGTGGCAGATGCCACGATCACACACACCCTCAGTTGTCCCAACAAGTCTGCGGAGTCATGTTGTTTCCTGCCTTTCTTGCACCAACCCCCCCCCCCCATCCACATCCCTGGAGTGAGCAAGCTCCCCTCTCTGTGCCTCCCACAGCTTGTCCCCACCCCCACCCTTGCTCTCACCTTTTCCTGATGAACTATCCCCAGGGCGTGCTTCTGGGGCCTCTGCAGAATACATTCTCTCTTATCTTCAGTCATTGTGGGAGGCCTAACTCCTGACTCCCAACCCGCACCAGCCTCCCGTGCCCCACTCTGGACCAGAGGTTGAAAACCGTGGGCTGTAACCGTCTGTTTACATAGCTGCCTCCCCAGGGGCTGGAAACCCCTCCCGAGCCAGGATCCGGGCCCGGCGCAGCCAGCCAGGCAAGTGTAGCTAGCGTTCAATAGGTGTTTGTTGGAGAAGAGCATGCGTAAATGGGTGATTTTCTGAGCTGGAGAACACGAACACGAGAGCTCTCACACCAAGCTAGTTTTTATAACTAGGAGTCTTACACTTCCCCATTCATCCAGGGCCGTTTTGAGTGCTTCAGTTCTGCCAGGTGCTTTTCCAGGCACTGCTGCTCCAGCGAGGAGCCAAACAGACAGCAAGAAATCCTAAGCCCTTGGTGGCACTTACGTTTTAGTGGCAAAACTCTGCGGAATAAGGGTGAGGGCTGAGGGGGGCGGGGCGGGGGAGCCCAGAAGATGCCCGGTTGGCAGCAGGGAGGTGGCGAGGGTGACAGCCCAGCCAGGAGGGAAAGAAAGCAGAGCCCCAGAGGGTCCCCGGGAGGCGCCTTCCAGGCAAAGAACGCATGCGTGTGAGATCTTGAAGGCCTGTGGTCTTCCGGGAGCAGCAAGTTCTAGAAGAAGGGCCACTTGTCGTTGACAAGGGGTAAAATGAAGGCAAAAATGAACCCATTCAACCTGGTTCTTGGAAAAAGAAAATGTTTGGGATGGGGGAGGGAACGGTGACGGAAAGACAGGGAGACAGTAACTCCCGGGAGTGACCTCTGGGGAGCTGCAATTTCCCTGCTCTTACCCTCATTACCGGCTGTGGCGGCATCCCTGGGGTTGGGGCGACCACATCACTGGGGATTTCGCGGGAGCCTGACCTCCTCTTTCCAACCAGGCTGGCCGGGCCAGGGCCCAGCGGGCCAGGCGCTGCTCAATCGCTGTCTGTGTGCATCCGCAGGGGCCTGGACAAGGGGGCTTTAGAGAAGGAGTTGGCCACTAGCCCCGCTGTGGCAAAAAGAATTTGAAGAGGGAGGGGGGATCGTTTGCAGGAAGAGAAAGCAGCGGCTGAAATAGTGAGTGCACGGGGGCGGGGAGCCTGGCCTCTGGGAGGTGTCTGATGCAGGGATGAGCCTGGCTCTGGGGCCCTACCTCTGCCCTCCGGAGCCCTGGCGTCCGGGGTATGAACGGTGGGCATCAGCTAGTCCCAGTGCTCAGGGAAGCGCAGCCCTGGAGGCAGGTTCTCAGACTTGCTTCACACAGGTGGTCAGGAAACAGCTACAACAGTAGACAGAGATGGGGGGACCCTGCTGAGCCCCTGGCCCCCCGAGATCACCACCCCCCACCCCCCCCACCCCACCCCCGAGCCCCACCAAATCCCGTTTAGAGCAAGCCCACCCTTTTGTGTTCTCTCTGCTCCTGGCTGCCCACTCCCGACTCTTTTAAAATGGTAATAACTGCCTAAGACTTGGGAGTAAACTCCCCAAAGTCCATCTGTTCCCCACAGTGTAGCATGAATTCATTTAATCAGATTCTTTCCTCAGGGACCCCCTGCCCTGAGACAGTGGGATGTTTTACAGAGAGGAGGAAAGGGAAATGTTTGAGCTGGGGAGGCTGAGACCTCTGGGACCTTAGCAGGATTCTTGCAGATGGGATGTGTGCTTGCTGAGACCACACATTTTTCTAGACAGGGAACAGCAGTGTGGGCTCTGGGGGCGGGGTGGGAGGGTGCTCTTGGGGGGGCTCTGTCGGGTTGGCAACTCCGCCCCACCCCTGGAGGAATGACAACAGGGCCATCACATGCTAATATTTTATGTTTGAAGACAATGAAAACATGCTGTCATTTAAAACTAATACGGCAAGGGGCGCCTGGGTGGCGCAGTCGGTTAAGCGTCCGACTTCAGCCAGGTCACGATCTCGCGGTCTGTGAGTTCGAGCCCCGCGTCAGGCTCTGGGCTGACGGCTCAGAGCCTGGAGCCTGTTTCCGATTCTGTGTCTCCCTCTCTCTCTGCCCCTCCCCCATTCATGCTCTGTCTCTCTCTGTCCCAAAAATAAATAAACGTTGAAAAAAAAATTAAAAAAAAAAAAAAACTAATACGGCAAGGTTAAGAGGTTTGCATCCTGAATTCAGGGGTGTCAAAGTGTCAGGAGGGAGGGTGTGTTTAAGAGTGAAATCAATACACTGTATCCTTTGTCTAAGTTAGATACCATCCATGCTACATTTAACAGTAGGGACAGGCACAAAAGTTTTGAAAATGTATAACACACTTAAATGAATGTTTCCTCCATTAAATTTTTCTGTGAATGTGAGGACTTCTCTCAAGTTTTATTGACAGCTGTGGGAGTAGCACAATTGCCTGGGAACAGGCAGTTTCTTCCAGGAATAAACAACAGGGGCTCCCGAGGTCACCTGTGGTGTTTCGTCCTGGGTGAGAGTCCATGTGACGGGAAGGGACAGTGACGATGAGACCTTCAGAGATGAGGCAGGGCTTGGGGCTCCAGAGGCCTCTGGGATCGAGCTGTCCTTAGCTCCTGCTGGTGTAAGCTGAGCGAGGGGGACCCTATCTCCGGACACCAAGCACACGACTGGGTAAACTCAGGCACGACGTGAGTCAGCAACCAGCTGGTGGAAAACCCTGGAATCCTTTGTTTCCTAGATCTTAGTAATTGCAGGAGCATACATACACCACACCAACTCCCACACTCATACATGCACAAAGAGCCCCACATACTCACACACACACTTACACACACCCACAAATCATCCACATACACACAACTCGCTTACACACACTCAAGGGCCCGTCTTTACTGTTACCCCAGAACACAATGGTCCATTTGAACAGGAGAAAGGTGTTTTCTGAAGATGGGAAAGTCTCCTAGGAAAGAATCATCTTGAAGCTTCTTTGTTTTCCGTAATTCAAGCAGAACAAATTCTGTTGTTTTTTTTTTTCCTATAAAAAAAGAAAGAAAACGCTGTTGATAGTCTTAAGTTGTTGATGGGTTGTGGAAAGTAGGGGAGCTAGAAAGAATCTTTGGAATTACACGCCACTCTCTTACACACATACAACTCACTCACGTATCTGCAATCTGAGAGTGCCTTCAGATTTCTTGCTCTCGATAAAGAAGCAGTTGTTGTTTTCTGGATGCATAAACCTGGAGGCAGGATGGATGTTAGCAAATGATCAATTCCAGTTCAAGATATTTTCCCCGTATCTGTAATGTTACAAGAAAACTCACATTGAAACGGAACCCATATTTTAAGGAATGCCCATGCTCACATTTTTCCTGTTAGCAAACAACTTATGTTTACCTGTTTTCTGTGTTTGCACCCGGGGATAAAATATTTCTTTCCAAGACCAAGCTGGAGACAAGTTAAGTCCTTGAGACTGTGCTCCTGGTAAGACCTCATCTGTGTGTAGAAAGGCCCCAGAATGACCCGGGTGAGAGCCAACCTTGTACAGAGAAAGGCCATTCTGGAAAAATAAACCTCAAGGAGAAAGTAAACCCGGCCTTAGAATAGCCATGCTTAGGAAAAGTGCAAGAAAGTAGGTTTGCAGGCTCGTGGTGAGGACACTAGGTTCCTATACATGAGTGTTATCTGTCCATGTTGGTAAAATCTCAGGACCTGGGTCCCCCCCAAATCTTTGGAGTTGAGCTTATGGTTGGGTAACGGTGAGGCCCTGGCTGAGGGGCAGGGCAGCCTTTCAGACAATAGTTTCTGGACTATTCTGACTGCAGTTTGGCAATCACCTAGTCAACCTGCAACTTGTCTAGGAAAGGAGGGTGCTATTGGGAATGTGGCTGGCTGGGTCATGTGTCTTTAGGGGGGTAATGGTGTCACCACCGCTTCCATTCTGGGATCAGAACTTCTGGGTACCCTTGAAGCATCTCGGGGAGAGAAGATAAATCCCTAGGCATTGCCTCAAGAGCTTTTGCTTCAGTAAGTGTCACAGTTTTAATAAACACCATACATAATTCTGATACAGTTGGTCTAACTTTCCAATTTGAAACCTTTCTCTACACATTAGGAACGCCTCAAGGGAAAAAGAAAAGAAAGTGGAGAGAACCCAGATCAGTCAACATTTCTCCTTATTAGCACATCTGGGAAGGCAGGTTAATATACCTTACTACAGCTTTCCACTTCTAATGATTTTCCTCCCCCATCCACCTCTAGCCGATGCATCTGTATTAAATTCATCCTCTTTCATGTTGTTTACCTATATGGCTCTATTGGGTCTCATTCCAGAAGGAATTTTAAAAGTCCCTCGCAAAATGCATCACATATAAGCTGAGATAAAATTTACGATAAAGGACTGGAAAAATACAGACCGAAAGGCAAAGCTACTAAAGTTGAACACAGAAATGTTCATCATTAAGTAGAAACAATTCCACCTACCTAATATTTCTTTACTTCATAAAAATGGAGATCATAGGTACCCTTCACAATCATTTCATAGCATCGTCAATACGATTTCAATGTTCTAAAAACTTGTAAAGTTAACACCCACCCACCTCACTTTTGATGGAGAACTAACACATTCTCAGTGCACAAAGTTGGAAAATAAAGGTAAGTATAAGTGATTGAAGGTGATCAACTTTAATACTTAAGTGTGCTTCCTTCAATTTGGAGAGATATAGGAATATGCATATGCATATCCATCAGGACAGATTAGTTATGTCATAATTGAAACCATACTACAATAATTTTTTTTTCAATTCTGCTTTATATGAAATGTGCAGACAAGGCACATTTACAGAGAGAGAAAGTAGATTAGTGGTTGGGGAGTGGGGAGGTGAGGGGAGAGGGGATGGGAAGTGCCTAATAATAGGTAAAAAGTTCCTTGCTAGAATGATAAAGTTGTTTCCAAATTATTGTAGTAATTGAGCAGCACTGTAAAATTATTCAAAAGCCATTGAATTGTATACTTTAATTGGGTGAACTTGATAGTGTGTGAATTATATATTAATAAAGCTGTTAAAATATTGCAGTTGGCTATACACTACATACACCCAGATTTCACAACACAAAATCCATTTTTTTGTTTGCAATTTTCTTCCATCGCCTTCTGTTAAAATGAATATCAGTTTTGGGGCACCGGGATGGCTCAGACGGTTAAGCTTCTGACTTTGGCTCAGGTCATGATCTCACAGTTCATGAGTTCGAGCCCTGCATCGGGCCCTGTGCTGACAGCTCAAAGCCTGGAGCCTGCTTCAGATTCTGTGTCTCCCTCTCTCTCTCTGCCCCTACTCTGCTCACACTCTGTCTCTCTCTGTCTCCCAAAAATAAGTGAATGTTAAAAATTAAAAAAAACGAATATCAGTTTGTATTACTTTGTTACATAGATAGTGACTTTGTAAGGGTGATCACTCCAGACTGAAAACTTTACAAAGCATTTTAATGAAATGTTATGTGTCCTTCCAGGAAAAAAAGCAAATTAATATACATAGTATACATAATATATGTATTATGACTCAATATACATAGTAACAATAGATATAGAAACATCCATCCATCCATCCATCCATGTATCCATCCACCTATGTGTCCATACATCCATGCATCCATCCATCCATCTATCCATCTGTCCGTCCATCCATCCATCCATCCTTCCATCCATCCATCCATGCATCCATCCATCCACCCATCCATGTATCCATCCACCCATGTGTCCATGCATCCATCCATTCATCCATCCATCCATTCACTCAGTAGCCATTGTGTGCCTGCCATTCACCATCCCATTCAGCCACTGAAAATCCAGTGGTGAACAGAGGAGACTATGGTCCTACTCTCACCACATCATTCTCTCACCCACAATAACCCACATATCACACATGAGGCACACACGCCTGTTCCTTGAGCTCCTTTTCTTCCACCAACCATTAAAGTAATTTGTTAAATAAAATACAAAAGGCGTGTTTGAAAGGAAATGCCAGAGGCAGGTACAAACTCATAGAATTTCAAAACTTAAAAGGTCCATAGCAATTTTATGGACCTGGGAATTCACCCATGGGAGTTCAATGATTTGATAGAGGGGGTAAGTATGTAGCAAAATGAAAACATCTAAACCCCACAAACTCATGTCGACAGCACAGCAAAAAAAAAAAAAAAAAAAAATATATATATATATATATATTTTTTTTTTTTTCTCTCTCTCTCTTGAGACATGTTTATAAGGCAGATTTTCTGGGAGAGTCCCAATTATAGGTACTTTTATTCTTTTTCAAAGGCCATTTAAAATGTTTAAGTCTATAGATTTATTTTTATTCCTTTGTTAAGGCTTATAAAAAATAAATTCCTAAGTCAAAAGTGGTGTTTTTTTTTTTTTAAGCATGTTTTTGATTCCTTTGTTAGGCCGTATTTTTGGTTTATAAAATACAGTCGCCATAGCCACATTCTTCTCAAAAAGAGTAGTTGGTTGTGGCTTTGGAGTTCCCTGTCCTCTGCGCCTGCCAATATCATTAACTCGCTAAACCTGAATTTCTGCTTGACTCAAGATCTTTAATTACTCCCCGCGTCTCTCAACCCCTTCATTATTACAAGCAATTAAATTGCAGAAGTAACATCATCTTTTTGACATCTGGAAGATATTACTACTCATCTCTTTTCTCTCCAACCAAGTCCCCCTCCAAGGCTGAGCAGGAAACCCCCGCAAATGTCCATGAGGGGACGATGCCCAGGCAGGGGTCAACACAGTGAGCTGGCCAGCCTGGATCCGCCAGGTCACACGACTGAGGATGGCCACCCAGGCTCAGGGCCTCAAGCCCTTACCCGTGAAATGGGAGATGCTGCTGTATCTGTATTTCTGAGTCCCAGAAATTCAACCTTGGAGGCATGTGAAGACACAAAGGAATACGTCGAATATTCTTCCTGGAAAGTCATTATTTGATGGAAACAGAAAAACATTATTATTTCATTAAAGCAGTCAGATTTACAAAAGAATATCACATTTACAAAAGTATTAAAGCTGACGTATGAGTTCTCAAAAAAAAAAAAAGTGTCTTACATTTAGCAGAATCTTCTGGTTAAATGCAGAGCCTCCTGGCACCCAGGGCCCCTGGGTGGATGGCTGGGAGACCAGTGATGGCTTGAGTTCTGTTCAGCTCTAAAGCCCGAAGATTCCATAAAAAAAAGCATAAGCCTTGTCCAAAGGCGCTAAACAAGGTCTTCATTTCATTACAGAACAACCCACCCCAGAGAGCCTAACACGCATTAGTAGCCCTTTTATTAAAATGAAGGCTGGGTTTCCATCCAAGGGAGAAGCCCCTCCCGGCCAAGGGTGAACACCACCTCCCTGACCCCAGGCCCCTCTCCTGTCCTGCAACTTTGGGCTCCAGGGTCCTCTGTTCCCAGCTGTGCCTCCTCACAAGCAGAGTCTCCAGGAGGCTGGAGGGCCCTGGAGAGGCCTGGGGGACACCGTGGGCACCCGCGCCTGGGCATTCCCTTGGGCCCGTGGCTCTGGGCTTGAGTTGCACGGTGTGGGCGGTGGGCCAGGGGCCGCTGAAGTGGACACAGGGGGAGTTCTATCAGAGGGAAGAGAAGAGCTACAGCCACAGCGGACCCCGCCAACCTCAAAGCTGGCTGTTGTCTGTTGTCGGAGGGAGGGGTGATGGAGAAAATCCGGAAAGGTGAGAGAGGACCCGGAGGGAAGTGGGGAATTAGGCAAAAGTGTGGAGAGCAGGCCCCGCCCCCTGGCACCCTAGCCAGTCCACGGGGTGGGGTGGGGGGGGGGGCGCGGAGAAGATGAAAGTGTGACCACATCTGCGAGGATGCCTCCAAGGGGAGGTGTCAAAGCCGCCTCTGCCCTGGACCACTGCCTGGTGCCCGTAAATCCCGGGAGCGCCTGCGAGGTCCCACTCCAACCTCTTCCTCTCATATTTGCTCCCATCCTTCAATTTTGCGGTCCAGTGCCGGGTGCGGTTTGTTTGCTTTGAACCTCTGCGGTGAGAATAGTGCAGGTCAATGTTCCCTTTTTCTTCATGAGCCTTTTTGAATATCGACGGCGAATGTCCTGTGAATAGTATTTTCAGTCACCGCATCATGTGCTGTCACGGGTTGGGGAGATTTTTTTTTTTTTTTTTGAAGATATTCGCAACAATTTCTCTTGGGCTTCTTTGCAGCGAGCCCCTCCCCCCGGGGGGGGGGGGGTGTCTTTTTTTCTTTTTCCCTATTTCCTTTGAATTTGGACTGTCTTCTGAGGTGCCCAGTGACAAGAATGTGGTGGATGTGATGTTGTAAGTCCCCCGGGGCTGGGCCTCAAGATGCCCTATAATTTCTGTCCACTTCTCCCCCTTGGCAGGTCCTGAGAGGGTGGCATGGGGAGGTTGAGCCTCCTGAGGGTGACAGCAGAGGTACCCCACCCAGAAGCGAGTTCTGACTGCCAGGCACTTGAGGGGGGTTGCCTTGGACCTTCCAGCTCATCTAACCCTCCAGCTGAATAGATCCCACACCCCACGCAATGGTGAGAAATCCTGAATAGCTGTTGTTTTAAGTTACCAGTTTTGGGGTGCTTTGGAGTGCAGAAAAGGCTAATTGAATCTAATGTGGGAATTGTGAATTTGACCAATTTTTACCTTTATGTTTTTAATGTTTATTTTATTTTGAGAGAGAGAGAGAGAGAGAGAGGGAGAAAGTGTGCAAGTGGGACAGGGGCAGAGAGAGGGGCGGGGGACAGAGGATCTGAAGCGAGCTCCGTGCTATTGGCAGAGAACCCGACGCAGGGCTCAAACTCGTGAACCGTGAGATCAGGACCTCAGCTGAAAGCGGAGGCTTAACCAACTGAGTCACCCCAAATTCAAGGCACCCCTCGAATTTGACCAATTTCTAACCCCACCCTCCCAAACCCTAGGAAGCATTTGCCTCTAATGTTCAGCTGAGCCCAGGGATTAGTCTGATCATGGCCAGTGGGTGACAGGGCTTAGCAGGGAGAGAAGACTGAGAGATGAGCTCTCATGGTAGAGACAGAACATGATTGCCTCATTGCAAAATGGGGAATCTGACACTCGCACCTGTTAAACGATATAGGTAATGTTCAAGAGCATACGCATTGCCATCAGGCAGACATGACTTCGACTCCTCCCTTGTCACTTATTTAGCTAGCTAGGTGACGTCTTCATCTCTCAATTTGCTTGTGTGTAAGATAGAGACAACGCTATCAAACCCTAGTGTTGTTTTGAGGGTTAAATGCAGGAGTGTGTATGAAATACCTCGCCTGGTTCCTGGCACATAACAGTCACTCTATATATGGCAGCTGCTAAGCACCCTGCCAGGTCATGTGGTACAAAGTGGGGAACTGGCATCACCCAGTCTGACTCCGAAGTTCGTGCTCTTTCTACCGTATTTCACTTTTTATCCCTGACATTCCTCCCCAGAATCCGTGACGAACAGATTTTATTTCAAGTGTCAGCTCATATCCATTGATCTGCCAGATTTTAATTGAGGGCCTACTATGCTCCAGGTATCAAGCTCTGCTCTAGGGCAATGAGACAAGGCAATGTGTCAGGAAGGTCTGTTGGGGGAGACAGATGATAACAACACAGATGAATCTGTGACTGCAAAGCATGAAAAATGCTGGGAAGGACAAGACTGCGTCCCATGAAGGAGAGGAGCAGGGAGCTTTGATCTGGAGTAGGCACAGGGCTGCTCCAGGGAAGGTTCCTGAAGAAGCAACATCTGAGCTGAGATATCAAGAGTCAAGGGCAGTTCATGAGGTAAAGAGGGTGTGTTGGGACCAGAAAAGACTGCTCTCATCAGAGGGACAGCAAGTTTGAAGAACCTAAAGCCGAAAGGAAGATAGGACTTTGTGGGGGGTTAGAGGACTGAGGGCAAATGTGAGGCTGGTCCCAGGGGAGGAGTCGAGAGGACGCAGGGGCACGTCACATAAGGCTGTGGGGGCCACGTTATAGACTTTGATCTTCAATTAGAGTGAGGAAATCCATGAAGCATTCTTTTTTTTTTTTTTTAATTTTTTTTTTCAACGTTTATTTATTTTTGGGACAGAGACAGAGCATGAACGGGGGAGGGGCAGAGAGAGAGGGAGACACGGAATCGGAAACAGGCTCCAGGCTCTGAGCCATCAGCCCAGAGCCCGACGCGGGGCTCGAACTCACGGACCGCGAGATCGTGACCTGGCCGAAGTCGGACGCTTAACCGACTGCGCCACCCAGGTGCCCCTCCATGAAGCATTCTAAGTAGGGAAGTGACATAAAAAAAAAAAAAACCAGACAGCATCTGGGATGGCTGCCTACATCTTGGTTCTTCAAGAAACAGCAGAGCGATCTCTTAGCAATGTGGGCCAAGATCTCGGGAGGCGATGTCGTTTGGTTCCACCACGTAGTAGGCACGGAGTAAGAACCGGCTGAACAAATGTGGGGCGCCTGGGTGGCTCAGTCAGTTAAGCGTCTGACTCTTGATTTGAGCTCACTTTGTGAGTTCGAGCCCCACGTTGGGCTCTGCGCTGACCTTGCGGAGCCTGCTTGGGATTCTCTGCCTCTCTGCCCCTCCTCCACTTGCTTTCTCTCAAGCATACATAAACATTAGAAAAAAAAAAAAAAGAACCCGCTGGTCAAATGAAGGAACACTTGAATAATTTACAGAAGGCTCGGCGTGTCAGAGGCAGTAAGAGAAACAGCTGTATCTTGTGGCCAGAGTCCCCTAGACGCTACAAAGATGCATGGGAACTCTTCTTTAAAAAAAGAAAAAAGAAAAAAAAAATCTCTGCCTTCCTCTAGTCTCCCTATTTTGTAAACTGTATGTTAAGCCTTCTTTGAACATCTGTTTATAAGGTGCTTAGAAATTCTGTGAGGAAAATCATCTCGGAGACTCCATAAGCTGTTGCTTCTCCCCTTTGTTTGACGTGCTCTCTGGCGTTTTCTGTCCAGCCGTTGCCCAGTCATCTCTAGTGGGGATCACTGTCATTTAAAAGAGCCACTTACTGCTTGAAAAATAGAGTCGCACCATCTTGTATTGGTGCCAGTTCTGCTCAATGGAAGTCACTGCTGGAAATGAGGGAAGAGAAAGTTTGCAAACATCTTTTGCAGGTTCTCCTTCGGGAAGCCCACTCTTCCTCGCTTCCCAGATGTGATCAAGGGTACAAGGAAGGAGACATGCAGATAGAGATTATGGGGAGAAACCCACTAAAAATAAACACAGCCCGGTCTAGTATATATTTTTAAAGATTCATCCATGTAATTCAAGATCAGTCATTTAGAAGCAGCCCCACTCAATGCCACATAGCATTAAAACCCAGCCACTATGAAGTGAGTCATCCTATAAGAGCAGGTTGGACTGAAGGCTGTGTCACAAGACATTTACATTCCTTCTCTGAAATCCACTCTTTTGATAATGAAAGGGGTGAAGAGTTTAAAGTCACCACTTACGATGTTCTGGAATGTTTTCTTAAAAGAGAAAAGACCCTCCGGAAATGCACCCAGGGGTTCAAAGACATAAGTGTGGGTTCAGGAGGACTAAGGAATTGCCTCTTCTAGGATAGCAAGGAGCTGAGCACATTCTCCTTCACTTGGTAACTCAACCTAAAAGGAAAAAAAAAAATAGGAAAAAAAAAAAGCTTTATTTCAGCGTTAGGCATATGGTTGGCATTCGCCAAGTGTTTATTAATAATAATGACTTAAGGATGCCAAACCCCTTCTAGAGCAAATTGTCCCAGATCCAAATTCCACAACGCGCCAAAGGATTTCAGTGTCCTGGCAGGAGGCTTGAAGGATTGGAACAATTCACACATAGCACAACTCCTGCTCACACCACAATGCATTTTCTCCTGCCCACTTCCCACGTCGACTCCCCCCACATCAGTGGGGTGGCCCATTGGATACCCTCCACCACATGTCTCTAGTTAATCAAGGGTTGTTTCTTTTTCTCACCTATACCAGGCTTTCCACATTTCCTTCACGAGATAAGCAGGTTCAAACTTAGTTCTTCCTCCCGAGAGGGTGAACAAAGACAGCCTTCGTGAAAGGGAAAGACCCAGAAGTGATGGAACCAGTGGCAAGACGGTGATAGGCATGCTATGCTACTTCTCTGCATCCATTCACCTCTGCAAGGGCACCCAGGATCCCCTCATCAGGTCATTACCCATTGTTCTTCTCTGAAACAAACATAAAATTCACCTGCGTCCAGCCCTGATTATCTTGGTAAGTGTCCAGCACTTTGGGATAACCTAGCCGCCCATTTTCCCAAGTTTGTAGATGAGCAAACCAAGGCCACAGGTTGCTCCGCCTTTCTGTCTCTCAAAGATAAATACAAGATAATGAGCACCTGGCTTGGTAAGGATGAGCCATGTTCACCATGGCTAGAACTTCGTACTGAGTCTGTTTGAGCTCAAACTCCT